GAAGTACCTTCCTCTCAGTGTAGGCATAGGGGTCTAGTATCCCAGTACTATATAAAGTTATTACAGAAAGGGTCGCTGCTCTGAAGATTTTTAAATTATAAATAACTTGTGAAGTAGGTTGTTTCAAAAATATTCATGTAGAAAAAAGATGAGCACTTTATTTTATGATAAGTGATGTGTATAGACTGCTCTGTAAGTTGGTTAAATTCATTTCTGTGGCAGTTCTTACGCTCTCCAATTCAGATTCCTGGTTTCTGACTGAGGTAAATGTGACAGTGCCAGTCATATTATTGATTGGCCAGCAATAACAGATATTGCAAAAAAAATTGGGCAGCAATTGTGTAAACTTCCTCTGTAGTGTATGTGCTGCTGTTAGGAGAAAAGGCCAGTTCTTTTACTAGATCTGGCTGGTAATTAGTGTTTTTATAATAATAAAATGTAAACCTTCCTTCTGAAGTATTAGCATGCTTTACAAACAAGGGTCATCTTATCTTCCCTAGAAAAAGTGAGAGCATCCTGACTTTCAGATAGGTAGTTTTGATAAAATCACCTCTACGGAGTCAAGCAGACCTTTGAGGAGTAGTATCTTTGTAATCTGAACAGTGCCTGTTCCCTAGCACAATCACATTTAACTACAAAAATATTTTTGTAGTATTGGATGTATAGGACGGAGACACAGCTGTATAGTGAAGAGACCACACGTGTTATGTAAAGACCAGAACAGGTTTTGAGAACTGATTGCGTGAGATGTATTGTATTGCTTTGGCCTTGCATCCATCTGTGCCAAGTTGAAGAATGTGAAATGGGTTTTTAAAATTGTGTCTGTAATTTTGCTAACCCAAACCACATGATTGCTCTTCCCAACCCTGTCTTTTTGTCTTGCATCTCCTTAATTTCTGTCTTTCACAGTCATTAATTCTGTCTGGATTCTTAAAAAATTTCTCTCATGATATTATTTCTTGACCTTAACTTGAACAAGGTTGTACTAAACAAAGTATTTTCTCAAAAAAATTTGTTTAATGTGCAATTAAAAAAAGGGGGGGGAGGAGGGGGCTAGGATTATCATAGAATGGTTTGGGTTGGAAGGGTCCTTAAAAAGATGACCTTAAAAGGTCATCTAGTCCAGCCCCCCTGCAATGAGCAGGGACATCTTCAACTAGATCAGGTTGCTCAGAGGCCCGTCTAACCTGACCTTGAGTGTTTCCAGGGATGGGGCACCTACCACTTCTCTGGGCGACCTGTGCCAGTGTTTCACCACCCTCATTGTAAAAAATGTCTTCCTTATACCTAGTCCGAATCTACCCTCTTTTAGTTCAAAACCATCACCCCTTGTCCTATCACTACAGGCCCTATTAAAAAGTCTGTCCCCATCTGTCTTATAAGCCCCCTTTAAGTATTGGAAGGCTGCAATAAGGTCTTCCCAGAGCCTTCTTTTCTCCAGGCTGAACAACCCCAACTCTCTCAGCCTTTCCTCATAGGAGAGGTGTTCCAGTCGTCTGACCGTTTTTGTGGCCTCCTCTGGACGCACTCCAACAGGTCCATGTAATTGTACTTATGAATTAGAGATTCACCTAATTCTACTTTGCACTGGTATTTTCACACTGCATAATGTTTTACAGAAATGAGATGTCATATTTCAAGCTCTTACATATGTCTCTTATAGATTTGATGAGACTCAGTAATTATACATAGTGCTTCATGGGGGCCTGGAAGCTTGGATCCACATAGCTTTTAATTAATGTAAAATCATTAATACAAATGAAAGGGAAATATGAGATTTGTTTTAAAAAAGTGAAGTAACTTAATTCTCGCTTTCTACGCAGTTTATGTGCATAATTAACTTAAACGTTTGCGTTTTGACACTTGTTGCCTACCTCTTCCAGTGAGTTAACAACTTCCAACTATCTATCTGTTGGGAGAAGAATACAGCAGATAAACAATATAGAGCAAGTTTTGGGAATTTGTTAGGGATAGGTTTTTCATAGATAACCTAAAATAGAGAAGGCAAAAAACTACAGGATATATTACATTTGAACGTAGTAAGTAGGGAAGAACTGATTGAAAATGTGACAAGGAAAGCAGTGTAGTTATTGATTGTGAAATAATGGAGGCCATAATTCTTAAGAAAGGAAAGTGAAAAGCAAAACAAAGAAAATTAACTTAAACATAACAGACTTCAGCAAATTCAGAGAGTGTGCAGAGAAAATGCTTTGGACAATCAGTCCAAGCGAAGAGTTTACAAGTTTGTTGAAGAGTCTCTGAGGACATTGCAATGGATTTTGCTATTGTAGAAGGCGGCTAGGGAAAATGATAAGAAACTGACCTGGCTAAATCATGGCCTTTCCAGTAGCTTTGAAAACATGAAGAAAGATCAGACAAAGTAGATGCTAGCTCAAAGTATTAGGCATGGCCAGTTGTTTGTGGGGTTGGTTTGTTTGTTTTTAACAAAACAACAACCAAAAAAAAAAACCAAACCAACAGTGTGGACAAAAAGTACAAAATTAAATAAAGCTACTGGGAGTAGTAAGACTGTAGTAAGTCTGTGATCAAGGGAAAATACTGGTCTGCTACTTTGTGAGGAAGGAGAGCTGTCAACAGATTAAACTGAGAAGGCATTTAATATTTTTCTTCCATTTTGCTTTAGTTTTCATTGCATAGGTTGGCTATAATCAGATGGCTGGTACAGCCAGGAGCTTTGGCAAAGGTTGAGAAGGATTAGATAAAATACAGGTGGATTTTTTTTCCAGTGGCTGGGCAGTTGTGGTGGTGGTAGGTTTTGTTTGTTTTGTGGGGTGTTGGTTGTGGGTATGGGGTGGGGGGGTAAGGGTGTGGTTTTGTGGGGTTTTCCTAGTTCATTCCAGACACCTGGCTGAAGCATCATTTGCAGCATTAATTGTGGGGAGGGATTTTGTTTGATATGCGCTTTGTAAGTGGAGAACATTCTGGAGGATGAGGAAAAGGTATTAAATGTTCCTTGCCCAAAAAGAAAGGTGGGGAGAGGGGAGGAGGATACCCTGGAAATAAAAGGTTAAATAGCTTAATTTCAGTTGTTGGAAATTTGCTTGAACAAATTGAACTGCTGCAAATGAGAAAATAAGGAGAGAAATGAATATTATAATGGATTTGTGCAGAAGAAATGTGAAAATTTTTCTGATAAGTTATGTACATAAGGGAGAAGTAGCAGATGTCAAATCGTATCTTAGAATCATAGGCTTTAAAAGGGAGCTCTGGAGATCAACATGAAAAATAGCTGGATAAGCAGCACTTCCTCAGGTGACGATCTAGAGGTTCTACAGGGTTGCAGGTTGGTCATGAGTCAATGTTTTACTTTGCAAAAAAAGGAAAATGCTATATGAGGACAGATCAACAAAAGTACTATACATGTGAAGTAACTTTTCTATTCTGCTGTGTGATGGTGAAACCTCAGCTCCAGTTTGGGTGCTTAAAAGCACAAGGAGGGTGTGGACCAATTAACAAGTTATCAGAAGAATGTAATAGGAAGGGGAAAGGTCTTAAAAGAATGCTTGAAAGATATTTCACTTACAGAAAGACAGGGAAATACTGTACTAAGCTTGAACCTACTTTGAGATTGAAGTCAAAATGCAATTATTAAAGAGGCCATCCTGTAGTGTATTGCTCCAAAGAAATTGTAATAGACCTGATTTTTTTCTTTTTTTTTTCTTTTTTTTTTTTTTTTTTTTTTTTTTTTTTTTTTCTAAACTGATATTAACTATCTGATTATTCGTGCATTTTTTTTTTTTTTTTTTTTTTTTTTTTTTTTTTTTTTTTTTTTACATGGAACATTAGAATCATGATATTTTTGGCTGAGGTTCTGCATGCCACAATGCAAACTTTGGTGAATTCATCTCTGGCAATATTGTGAAATAGCTGCGTTGTAGCAAAGCCTGTTTAGAGACTGTGCTTTAGACTGAAACACCTGTTCAAGTTTCTTTCATTGTGGATATTTCCATGGAGAAATAAGTCTGGTTTTTGGTTTTTTTTTTTTCCTTTCAATGTGGCAGTTGCATTATTTGATACTTCTAAAGAGTCTGATGGTGTCATTTGGAATATGTTGCAAATAGCCTTGAAATATATTCTGAATGCAGTTCATGTGCCTTAACTCTGTTTCAAGTCTTAGTTTCAGATGTCTGTGAGTCCCTTATCTTTTTTCTGAAGCAAGTACATGTTGGCCACACGCAGAGGAACAGACTTCTCCTGTATGGGACACATAATACTTGAACTATTTTTTTTAATTATGTGAGACCATAGGTGAAACTGGATTCTTCATCTGTTATTTCTTTATCATGTAGATCAATTGATCTCTAACACGATTTCAGATACCTCTAATCTTGCTTATGGCAGAACTCCTAAGACTCTTAATGAGGGCTGTGTAATATCCCTTACTATTCCACCACTTGCTTCCCTTTGCTCCTGTCTTAGAGTGCAAGTGCCCTGTGTGAGGTACAGAGCAGATACGTATTCCTTTTTGAGTTACACAAGCACAAAAATTATCACATGCTAGATCAACAAACTTCTAAGAACTTCATAAATGTTTACACAAAAAGTGTCAAACCCCTTCAGATGTCATGAACTATAGCGGTTTGGTCTTGGGCACAGGTAAATAAAATTTAGATGATTGACTGTTGATTAGTAATATTTTCCTGGAGCTCTTTATCTCATACATCTTATATAAATGGTGGGTTTGTCTTGGCAAAGTAACATGAGAAAAATCTGTGGGGCTAGTGTGTCTGAATCTGTTAGACATTCAGAATTCATTTTTTTGCTTTCTTCCTGTGCTTGTACTACAACATGTATATTAAAAATACACAAGATAAATACACAGACAATGTCAGAACTAAGAAATCTCAATTACTTCAAAATAATTAATTTGCATTTATTTTGCTAAATAAATTCTGTCTGCATTTTTGATACTACAATTAAAATGTTGCCCACTACATATTAGCATAAACTAATGTAGACATATCAGTAATATTACTTACCAGATGGTTTATCAGTTGAAGTCGGAATACTAGTAACTGTAGGCATGGTTGGTAAGGTAGGTGGCAGAACCTTTAAGTTCTGATCACTCTGAATCTCATTAGTAGATATCTGGTTAATAATGCGATTGTAAGTAGGAGGCTGGTACACTTTATTTGGTGGCTGTGGAGTTTGTGGCAGTGGCTTTATGGATGGCATTCTTTGACAGTGCTCTTCCAGTTGGGCAATTATTATTGACTGATTATTGGCAATTGACATCAGATGTTGGTACTTGTGCTCTAAGTCTTTGTATTTGTTTGCAAGCTGCAACATATCTGCAGTTTGGTTCAAAATCTTATTCTCAAGTTGAGAAAGTTCTAAGGCATTGTCACGTTTTCGGATAATTTCATGTAGTAACTGCATATAGAGTTGTGTGACACGAGAATTCATATTTCTGCTCTCTTTTCTTAAGAGTTTAACCTCATTAACAATCCCACCATCCACCTCTACCAGTTGCTGGAGAGTTTCTATTTGTCTCTTTTGTTTAAGAAGTTCATTGTTAAGTAACTGTAATTCTTGTTTATTTACCCTGTTTTCAAGTAGAACTTCAGGCTCCTTAGAATTAACACAAATGGCACCTGTCACTCTCTGTTGAGGTACAATAAAGGTGTAAGTGCATTTGTCCTGTACATCACTGGAACGCTTATATCTGTTCATATAAATGAATTCTTGTTCTGTTTCCTTGTCATTGCCTTCAAATTCCTGTGTTTTGCTTGCAGCAGCTCCCACAACAGCTATTAGCATTAAACAGATGAATCTTGTTGTCGTCATGATCCTCTAGTTCTGGTCAAATACTCTTCTGCAAAGAACTTTTTAAAATCTGTTTTAAAATAAATTTAACAGTAAGTAAAAAATAGGAAACCAATGCAAACTTACAACTGACAATATGTTCTAAAACTTACAAAATATTACATAGTAACTAGTATGTCTGTGTACAAATGAGATATTTTTCTTGTCCAGCATGAACTTAGGTTGGCTAAAGGGGACATCGTGGGGAATAGTTGTATCATTCTGTGGCCAGAACTGTAGTTCCTAGTTGCTAGTTTATCTAAAGCTTGTCAAGAACCACAAGAAGCTAAGTAATAAATACTGGGATTTGAAGAGTCCTTTCTTCCAGGCAAGTACAACAAAAGATTCCAAGATTGGTGTTTTCATTTAAATATGAATTACATTTTCATTTCTTACAGTTACAAATATAACCCTTAAATGTAAACAGAATGTAAGTTAATGTGCTGTTAGAAGTTCTAAAAATACAAAATAGCTCATTCGCAGTATTTTATAACTGCATGTCTATTGCAGGTGATATAGCTTAGATGAAATGTAACAATTTTACTTTAGTCAGCAGTATTGAACCTCATAGTTTTTAAAAAAAAAAGGAAAAACTTCCTCTACATTAGTCCTTAATAATTATAAACTAATAACTCTACTGCCCAAATATCATAGGCAGTAAAATCTGGGGTTTTTCCAGGCTAGTAGAATTTACAACTAAAATATTTATTGTGACTCTCACTGGAGACATTGCCTTTACACTCAGAGTGGTCATTTTACTTCCTAGTCCCTTCTCAGAAGGGGAAAAACACGTGCATATGTGCACAGTGGACAAAGATGACCCCCAGCTATTAAAATTAGCTATTAGTGTTTATTGACCTACTGCAACGGTACCCTTTTGGTGCAATGACACTAACTTAGTTCTCAAAGCAGATTCATATTCAAGGTGGAAATTTGAGGCCATCACAATCTCTTAAAACATAAGTCAATACCAGAACTTTATGGGCAACAGTCATCTTGGAAACGTGAGCTTAGCATTGTCACTACTGCCACAAATACCCTTGTCACAGATCACTCTTTTATCAGCTGCTTGAACAGCACTTTGATATTGTGTATTTCTAACAGCTTCTTGTTGTTGAATTTTAATAGACGTGTGTATATATAACCTAGTTTTCTTAAATAAAATGGGAGGAAAAAATGCAGTATGGAGCTCTTTCAGTGTATAACGCCTGCTTGATACTTTTTAAAACCAAGGTGGTGTTACCATCATATTTTTCTTTGCTTATAAAACATTTCACATGGAATTAAACTATTCAGTGTTTAAATAACTGTCACCTTACTGCTTGGTCATCTTTAGTACAATGAAATTTTTTAAATGACATGAAATAATGATAGTAACAGCTGTGAGAAACTGGAATGAGCCCAACTGAGTGCAACCAACATGGATAGCTGGACGCTGGCAGACATGATGTATGAGGAGCAGCAGAAAGAGCTAGGTTTGTTTAGCCTCCAGAAGAGAAGGTGAAGGAGACATCTTACTGCTATCTTTAACTGCTTAATGGGTGTTTGTAGAGAAGATGGATTCTTTTTGGAAATGCACAGTGAAAAGTATAATGGTCAATGGATACAAATTGCCTCAGGAAAAATTCATTTTGGGTTTTAGAAAAAAAGAATTTCACAATGAGGGTGACCAAGGACTGAAGCAGTCACCCAAAGATATAGTGGAATTTCCATTCCTGGAAATATGTAAGGTTTTGATTTAGGCAAGGCTCTGAGCAGTCTGATTTAATGTTGAAATTAGCCTTGCTTTGTAAGATGAAGGTGAGGTCCCATCCAGTCTGAATTGTCCTATGATTCTAGGCAGCTACTGACTTTTAAGAAATCATTCTTACGAGTTTCAAGATAATGATGGATATGAATGCTTAAATAATTATTCATACTGAGAAGAGATACGGTTGTCAGTCATTCACATTCTTCTGTTGTTTTGAAATAAACCATAGAAGTTTCTGCAAATGCTTCTGTAAGTGATTCAAACAAATGTGACCAGGACTTGATCCTTCTTAAAGTTTTTGGATATACATTTTTGCCTCAGTTTCTTATTTGGAATAAACTCATTTTCATTTTGCAAACAGAAAGGAATTGTGTTTTACAGAACTTGTTAAGAATCTTAAACTTGTCAGATAAAAGTTTGGAGTTTGACATGGTTTCTGTAAGTAAAGGAATGTTATTTGGAGCCCTGGAAAACAGGGAGCATAAATTCACCCCAGACAGCTTTAACTTGCATAATCAGCATTTGCACAGCAGGTCACACTTGGAAAACCCTGGCAGTTTTCCAGGCCTCATATTTCTGCACAGATCCACTGTTTTTGCAAATGCCTCTTGCACATAGGTGTAAAATGGGTTTTTATTTCACTGTTTGAATTGAAATATCTTTTTTTTTTTTTTCCCCCTTCAAAACCTGTAATTATTGTGACCACTGAAAAGAAACTAATTTTTTCCTCCGAGTTCACTTGTATCTTTGTTACAGCATCTCATGTCTTTAATTGAGCACAGGATCTGGAGTGCACATTCTTTTCCAGGTTGAAGAAATACAGAGCAACATGTAACAGTTTGATTTTTTTCTCCGATTTTTTTAAGACCTGTTTAAGAAAAAAGTGGAATGGAGTTCATCAACCTCATCTTAACATATCAGTTCAAACATCTTTCAAAATAGAATAGACTAGACTATTTCAGTTGGAAGGGACATACAACGATCATCTAGTCCAACTGCCCGATCAATTCGGGGCTGAGCAAGTTAAAGCCTGTTATTAAGGGCATTGTCCAAATGCCTTTTAAACACTGACAGGCTTCGGGCATCAAGCACCTCTCTAGGAAGCCTGTTCCAGTGTTTGACCACTGTTTTCAGAAGGTAAGCCATCAGTGAATGACAGCAGCATGATTAGACTGTGCTGAAATGCTTTTCTCTCGTGATCTTGCCTGCATGTCACCTTTTCTAAGGTGTTCTTCCTATAAGAAAAAACATTGGAAGGAAAAGTACATTGGTAAGAGAATGCTCTTGTGCAAACACAAACAAGAACCATAATGTCTTCAGATGTCCTTCTTCCTGCAGAGTTTGTTTATGAAGTGATCTCTTAAGTCTTTTATTGTCGGCACTTGTTCAGTTAAAAAAAAAGTGTTCAGTATGAGGCCTATTTGTTGCATATTGTGATGGACTACATAACATAAATGGCATTTCTTCTTTTCTGCAGTTGGATTAAAATGAAGTTCATAACCAACACACTTGTTTGAACAACTCAATGATTAATCTTTCAGAGAGAAAAAAGCTTGCAGGAGGAAGTGAGGGAGGAAGCCAGAGAAACAATTTTAAGGAAGGATTTAATGCTTTTTAATACCTTCCTCTTCTTTTTGAGTAGGAGAACATCAGATTAGGACATCAGAATTCCTTCCCATGGGAGAGGAAGATCTTATTTATTTGATGTCTAGCACACTAGCTTTCTGTTTTCTTCTGTTTGCACTTTTGCCAAGTAATTGCTCATACCCTTTGTACTGAACTAGTGCCGTTGCTTGCTGATCACTCAGTTCTTCCTGTTTCTCTGGCTCAGCCCCTCTTCCTCTCTCCCTCTCCCAGTAGCTCTTCTGCAGTGGACTGGGAGGGAACTGTATTACTGGGGCCATATTTGTCTCCAGTGCAAAATTCCACTTAGGTAGCTGTAGACTTTTCAACCTCTCCATTGCACAAAACTACATTATATAAAAGCATGCTTGCAGATTTGGTGCAATTTTTCTTAATTACTGGAAATGCAGCATGTCTGTCTTTTTATCCTTGTGCACAGTGACAAAACTTCAGCAAACAAACATACAAACAAGAAATGGGAGAAGTGAAAGAAGCACACTTAAAAAGTAGATATGTGTCATTTTAATTAAAAATCAAATAGATCCTCTAATTAGAAAAAGTATGGAAGTTTGACATAATTTCATTTCTAGATTCTGGCTGTTCAAGACTTGTGTACTCATAAAAGCACTTTTCAGGGGAGTTCAGTTGGGACAAACTTGCCCTAGTGCAGATGCACATACTCCTAATTTTGTGTATGTTTACCCTACTCGGCAGTATATATTACTTTATTCAGGCAAAATAATTTTTTTTTCCTGTTTGTCTTTTGCCAGAATAACTGCATCTGTATGAAAACTTCTGGCAGCATTGTTGTGTGGGTTATAATCATAGTATTTTTCATAGTCCTAGCCAGCATAAGCACTTTGGTTAAAATTTCAGTTTGTAAATGTTGGCCTATCTATGTATATAACTGCAAGTAGGTAATAAGTTGGTTTGTTTGCTCATTCATTGTTTGCCCAACTGAGGATGTTCCCATGATCTGGTGAAAAAAGAGGAAATAAACTTTCTGAAAAGGATATCAGATGTTTCAGCATTTGATTGTTTCTTCCTGTCCCTTAAAGGGAAAAAGTAAAAATCTTTCTTCAGCTTTGCTTTGACATATTTCTCTGTCCAGTACTCTGTCATGCCTATATGGGACTCTTGGTTAGTCAAAATACCTTACCTTTTGATTGTTACGAATATCTTGAAACTTATATGTGATATTTCAACAAGATTTGAGTATTTTACCATCTAAAATTATGCAGGTGTTTCACATCCTATAGTTTAATCACTGTCATGATTCCGAAATGATAAAGGTACAAATAATTCTATGTGCAAAGTATTACTATTTGGCAAATGTTCACTTTTTTAATCTGTTTACCTTAAGAGGAAGCATTAAAGGCAGCAATTTCAGCACTATGGCATTACTTTTTTTTTAAGCTACTTATAACAAAATACAGGTTTCATTGTGGATATTCCAACATATATATACTTTTTTTCATTATTTGTTGGTTCTGATGCCATGCTTCAGAGGATCTCATTTTTACAAAATAGACTGGTTAAGTATCTCTTTCAGGTTTTATGAAATATTTTACCTATCCTTGGGATTTTTGTATACAAAAGAGAACAAAGGTATGTTTCCATCAGATGAAAAATACGACTTGCAGTAATGTAAAAAAAGT